TAAAACATCCAACATCCAAAGTCCCTGGTCGTTTTGATTAATCGCTGTTTATAATAATAATAATAATGTGTGTGTGTGTGCGTGCGTGTGTGTGCGTGCGTGTGTGTGCGTGAGTGTGTTTAGTGAAGAGTGTAATACACTTTCAACTTTTGATCTTTAACCTTTAACCATTTTCACCCAAGCAGCCTTTACACGGCCATGCAATAATTACTTTTAAAAATATGCCAGCCGGACCCATGTTATTATTTATTATAGATAAAAATAATAATTTCAATGTAGTTATTACGTCTACAATTATTTCTAAGAAATATTCACGGAGGCGAAAATGGAAATAAAGGCGCCAGGATATATGGGAAGAACAGGAGTTCCTGGAGATACGGGATCAACTGGAAATACGGGATGGACAGGAAGAACTGGTCAACCAGGTATGACAGGATCACCTGGATTGACAGGAAGAACTGGTCAACCAGGTATGACAGGATCACCTGGATTGACAGGTGTTCCGGGATCTCAGGGATATACTGGATTACCGGGATATACTGGATTACCGGGATATACAGGTTATCTTGAATTTTGTGAACAATTTCAAATATTTAAAAACGGAGTTCATTTGATTTTGTTTTCTGTTGGGAATTTTTCGGCTGCAGATAATATTGAGTGGTTAGAATTTTCTAACTCAAGAAATTTATTTTTAAAGTACATCAAATTGTTTTATCGTATCAGTAGAATAATATTTACTGAACCTTGATGAACCAAGGTAACACTGGTTTGCCTGGATCTACTGGCAGCGTTGGAGACACAGGATTTGTGGGACTACCAGGCCAAATGGGAGCTACAGGGGCTCCGGGCATGCCTGTACTTGGTAGACCACCCGCCGTTTCACCAAAACAAAATTTTTTCCACGGTAATGAATTTGTTTTTTTTTTATTACACTTTAGATACCATTTTGATATGTTGTTATAGGTAAAAAAGTGGTTGGAAAAATTTGATTTAATCAAGTATATTAACTAGAGCATACTTGAAAAACAATTTATATTTAAACAACTCAATTGTAAAATATCATTGAAATAATCTTCCTGGCACTTCGAAAGATACCACACGACCAACCACCTCACAGACAACAGCGTAGTCCAGATCGGCAACCCACTATTCAACTGCGAACTGAAGGATTCTTTCGCGATGAGTTTGAAGGATATCAGCACAAAAATGAAAAAGAACGAGAACTTTGGAGCGATCTACAACGAGCGCATGAGCCTCTTGAAGCAGAAACAAATGGCCCTGATTGAGAGATACTCACGCATTATGAATGACTTCCAACTGAGAATGGCCAATCTTGGTTCGTGCTGCTGTTAAATTTTTCAATTCAGTTGAAAATTACAATTACTTATTGTTAATAACATATCAATCTTTTGAAATTTTGATTCAATCAACATTTCAACAAAACAACATGTTATACACTATGTACATTTTTAAATTACAGCAGATTACACGGTTAGAGGATTACCGGGGCTCATGGGACAACCGGGAAAACCGGGACCTCCAGGAATTCAGGGTGCAACCGGAGGAATTGGATTTACTGGCCAAACTGGTGTGACAGGTTTACAAGGCCCATCTGGATATACGGGAGCAACAGGAGTGAATGGTTCACAGGATGGTCACAGGGATCCCAGGAAATACTGGGGCAACTGGTCCACAAGGCGATACAGGAGCCACCGGAGCAACAGGAGCTCAAGGTCCTCCTTCTCTAAAAAATTTCTATAACTCAAAGAAGAAATAATGGAGAAGATGTTGGAAAATATTTGAGCGTGGAAACAAATTCATTATGACGTGTTTCGTCTTTGAAGGCTGCATTTGTGTTACTGACGTTGCTCATATAAACAATTTTTTTTGTTTCGTTGAGTTGTAAAAATTTGTTGTTCACTGCAAATTATTCCGAAATACATGACAATATGAAGAGTTTAAAAAATTTTTTTCTATATCTTAAAAAATTCATATTTCAAAAATCGTATTCAGAAAAAAAGTATTTATCCTTTAAATAAGGCATAAACCAAAAATTATAACTCGATATATGAGGCATAATAAAAACCATCTGGCACATGAAGCCAGTGCTAAAAATCCTACAAAAAATAAACATCATGTAAAAACAAAAAGTTTGCGACCACCAACTCAATTATTTAAATTCAGTTTCAAATTGCTTGACCAATCATTTGTCAAAAAATCATTTACTACGTCATGGAGGACCAATTTGTCCGGGTGGACCTGTTTGCCCTCTCGGTCCGGGTAGACCTGTGAACCCTGTGGACCCGGTTGACCCTTTGAACCCTGTTCGCCCTGTCGGTCCGGGAAAACCTGTTTGTCCTGTCGGTCCGGAAAAACCTGTTTGCCCCGTTGATCCGGTTGCCCCTGTAGCTCCCATTACACCAGTCGCACCCGTAAATCCAAAGTAGCCTGTAGCTCCCATTACACCAGTCGCACCCGTAAATCCAAAGTAGCCTGTAGCTCCGGTACTTCCCGTGGGCCCAATGTCCCCTCGTACGTAATCTGAAAATGTTTTGTTGTTTTTGTGTGTTTTGTTGGACTGTTTGAGCGTTGTTTGTTGTTCGTATGTGATTTGTGTTGTTTTTTGCTGTTTGTATGTTATTTGTGTGTTTTCATGTTGTTGTTGCTGCTGTATTTATTGTCTGTTTTGTTGTTGTTGCTGGCTGGTTGGCAATTAAATAATAAATTAATAATAACAAAGAATAAATAAACAGCAGAACAACACTTAAACAATACAAAAATAACAGCAAAGTAACAAAATAAAAATAATAAACATAGGAAAAAAATTTTCCTTACAAACGGTAACATTGTGATTGAGAAAATATGCCAATTCATTTATCTTCTCATCCAGCATCATCAGATCATTCTCAACCAAGTCCAAAATTGACTTCAACTCAACTTTCTCAGAACTTCTCAAATCCACATAATCATTCAGTTCTTCATAAATCTGCATATCGCAATCTGAGATGCTGACGTCTCCATTTTTGTAGTCGTAGAAGTCAGCGTCATCATGAACACTGAATAAACTTTGAGAGTAAGCAAGTTGCGGTAATAGTGAAGTGAGAACGATGATGCTGATAATGATGACGATGGTGGTATGATGGTGGTGGGGAGGATTTTTGGGCAGTAGTAGTAGTAGTTGTTGTTGTAGTACCATTTTTTGGGGCTATCAGACTTCAATTGGATGTTTATTAATGTCTGAGGAATTATTGTCTGGTGTAAGTAAATTTATAATAATAATTATTAATTTATTATAAATTTATTATTATTATTTTTATTTATTAAAAATCAACACATTACATACAATAAAATACACAAAAATACGGACTTAACATACAGAGCAGTGGCCAAAATACAAAATATAATACAGAGCGATATATTTTATGCTGAATTGTTTATATTAGCTGTATTAATGACATTCAATGTGCCTTTCAGAGACTTCCTTACTTGGGCAAACTTAACACTTTTGTTTAGCTTATTTATGCTGTGTTAATAATATCAGGCACACACATACACACGCACATACACGCACACCACGAACACACACACACAAACAAACACACACACATGTATATATATAATATATATATATATAATTATTAATTATATTAATAATCTTTTTTTCTTATAGGATATACAACGTTCATCCTAGTGCAATTTTGAGGAAACTACTACTAATATTACTCTTACTACTACAGCTGCCGACTAAATTATTACTTAATGCTCACTTGCCAGTGTCTCGGATTTGAATTTTTAGAAAAATGTACAAGCTTACATTTTTTTAAATTTGATTTACAAACACAACACACAAACACACACACACATACGCACGCACGCACGCACGCTTTTAGAGTTTCTTGAAAATCCTCCAAAACCCATTCTTCTTCTTGATCCTTTGAATCCTCTTGCTCCCGAAGATCCTTTCGCTCCTGTGTCTCCTTTCACGACATCTATGTGAGTTGGCTGGAGGAGTGGTTAGAAAGATTTCTAAGATATTGGACTAGTTTGGTGATGTTCGGTTTGTACGTTGTGTGACTGGCCGTTTCAACAGCTGGTTTGTCATTACATTTAAATGGCATTTATTAGATATTTTTTAGTTATAAGCATGCTATGTTCATCATTTAGTTTATCGAAGGTTATAAAATGTTTCAAAAAGAATAAGAATGATATAAAAAAATCTCTAAAATTTTTTTTAAAGATTACTCAAAAACACCGGCGTAAACTCCAATTTTATTGTCCATAAATCCAGTAAGACAATGTACACACACATATGCATATAATATTTGTCAAATATATCATTAAACACATGATAATGCGTAGCGAGTTTAAATACGTATACAAGTGTCTGTATTATGTTGTATGTGTTTGTATGTTTGTGTGTGTGTGCATGTGTGTGTATGTATATATATATATATATATATATATATATATATATATATATGTATATATATATATATATGTATATGTGTGTGTGTGTGTGTGGGCATGTGGAGTGGCGGGAGAAAAAGATGTGTGTTAAAAACAGGGAAACAAAATGAGAGTGAAAAAGAGAAAAAGAGAGACAGAGATAGAGTAAAAGAGAGAGAGAGAGAGAGAGAGAGAGAGAGGAGTGAGAGAGAGAGGGAGAGAGTTTGCGCTGTAGTTGATCATTTAATAATTCACTCATTCATTCACCCATCTCTTTCTTAATTTAATGGTTCGTTCATTCATTCATTCGTTCGTTTGTTCGTTCGTTCTTTTTTATTCGTTCACTCACTCATTCATTCAGAGATCTCCATGTAGTTTGCATATGTCCTCTTCAGTTGCGAGATGGATTTTTTTCAAAATTTATATTTAACGTGTCAAGTTTGACGTCACTTTCAACTTCATCAACTTTTTTCTTGCCGTTGTAGCTGTTGCAGGTGTTATTATTATTATTATTGTTGTTGTTATTATTGTTATTATTATTGTTATTATTTTTTATGACGTCATTACAAATTTCAAATTTTCCTCTTCCACCTTCAATTCTACCCTTGAATTCGCCATCGTCATCGTCATCATTTTGCTTCTTGACGGCCAGCCTCGGACAGCACTGATGATGATGATGATGAGGAAGATGTTGGTGATGATGATGATGGAGGAGATGATGGTGATTGTGGGGTACTGTAAGGTTTGACCTTTGGGGAAGGGGTGAAGTTGACCTCGTTTGGTTTTCTTTCTTCTTCTTAAAAGACATCGGGGAGAACCGTCTTGGAGGGTTTAAAATTTAGTAAAATAAATTGAAATTTAAAAGCAATAAGTTATAAAAGTTGTTACTTCAAACAACAATTATTAATTTTTCTGACAAAAATTGATGAATATTTAAAAAAAATTCTTAAAAATCTCACCCGAACAAATTGTCAATACCACATTTCTCGACTTTAACGTCAAAATCTTTCAAATTCCCTGTGCTGTAAGAATGAAGAGTTTTACTACAACCACCACCACCACAACAACAGCAGCTGCTGCTGCCGCCGCTACTACCTTTACCACACTTACCATCATCACTGACATTTCCTCTAGAGCATCTTTCGCAACAGCTGTTCGTATCGTCACCAACTTCGCCACAACAGCTACTACGGCTGTTTTCGCTAACGCCGCTAAACATGCTGGTGGTACCGCTACTCTCGCCGCTCCAGATACTGCAGCTGCCTTCGCTGACGGCTGAAGCGCAGCTTGATTTGCGCTGGAATTCAGAGGAATCGGCGACAACCAGATCTGATGGAGATGCCTTTGCTGTTTGCGGCGATTGTAAAGAGATTTGAGATGTTTGGCTTGATTTCTCGTCGTTTTGTTGTTGTTGTTTTTGTTGTTGGTGGTGGTTGTTGTTGTGAGGTGTCTTGTCTTTTTTCTTTTTGGATTTTGTTGTGGTTGTGGTAGACGCTGATGGTGGCGGTGGTTGGCTGGCGTCCTGTTTCTGGCTTCGTTTCCTGGTTAGACGTTTCTTGATTCCAAAAGAGAAGGACCTGCCACAATGTTAATGGCGAGATGTGTATAAATTTCTTAATAAATAAATAAATTAATTAATTATTTATTTATTTATTTAATTAGCCCATTAATAATATTTTAATTTTCTTAAATTTATCTAATAATTATGATTCATCAATTCGTTACCATCAAACGGTTCAATTATTCTCCCATTTCCTAATTTTATTTTTGCTCTGACATACGTAGAACTGCTTACATCCCATTAAATACTTGAAGTTTAACTTTGGCGTCACATAGGTTCTACTAGCCACACCACAAACACACACACACACACACACATACACAATACATACACGCACACACACACATACACAATACATACACGCACACACACACACAACACACATACACATTACATACACACACATGACGTATGATAATCTTTGAGTTTTGAACAGTTAGTAGTCGAACCGGGTCACGATGCAACGACAACACGAGACATGGCACTTCTACCGTCTGAGCTAACTCGCCGACCAAAAATTTAAAATTGAAAATAAAACCCTTTCTATATTTACATACCTTTTCTTAGATGTTGCTCTATCATTTTTATTACGGTCGTCATCATCATTATAATTTTTATTGTTATTATTATTATAGCTACTACTACTACTAATATTACAGCAACAACTGTCATTCTCAAATCCGTAATTATTATTATTATTATTATTATTTCTATTTATGGACGACATTGAAGAATTTCTAGATGCACTTTTAACGGTCGTATTATCTCCGTTGACGATGACGTCATTTCCGCCGCTGTTATTGTTGTTGTTGTTGGGTGGCGGGAAAACCCCTTGAAGAAGGTTTTGGAATTGGGCTGATTTGAGAAACCTCGGGTAGGAGTCTTTCTCCATGAGTTTGAAAATGTGCTCTTCCGCATCGCTGAATGATGATCTGATGATGATGATGACGATGATGGTGATGGTAGTGATGATGGTGATGATGGTAATAGTAATGATGATGATGGTGATGATGGTAATAGTAATGATGATGATGACGATGATGGTGGTGGTGAAGATGGCAATGATAGTGATGATGATGGTGTAGGTGGAAATCATGATGATGATGATAGTGATGATGATGGTGTAGGTGATGATGATGATGATGATGATAAAGAAAAAACAAAATAAGCTTAAGCATACCTGAGGGATTAATCCCTTGCCGATTAAAAAGTCTTTCATCACCATCATCATTATCATCATCATCATTATCACCATCATCATCGTTATCATCATTATCATGACTATTACATCATCATCGTCGTCGTCGTCTTCATCACCATTGTCACAAAATCATCACCGTACCGCCATCATCATCATTTTTATCATCACCATGACAACTACAATATCATCATCATGAATTCATCATCATTTTACCACCACCATCATCATCATCATTATCATCACTACCAGAAACTATAAATACCTAGTGGGATTTTCCAAGTTGCTTAGCGTTGTGTTCATAGTCCTACTGTCAATGTTGATTTCATGGGGTGACCCTGACTCTATAAATGACCTTGATGATGATTTGTGTGTTTGCATGTGCGTGTGTGTGCGTGTGTGTGTTTGTTTGTAGGTGTATGTGTGTGTGTCTGTATGTGCGTGCGTGTGTGTATTTGTATGTGTATGTGTGTGTGTATTTGTATGTGTATGTGTGTGTTTGTATGTGTGTGTATGTGTATGTGTGTGTATGTGTATGTGTGTGTGTGTATGTGTATGTGTGTGTTTGTATGCGTGAGTGTGTGTAAGGATAGCCAATATCACTATTTATCTTTTTATCATCAACATCATCATCATCATCAACATAGTCAACATCATCATTATCAACATAGTCATCATCATCGTCATCATCATCAACATCATCTACATCCTCTTCATCTTCATCATCTCATCTTCCAATGTTATTCCAAGCATTAGAACGTTTTTATTGCGCGTGTAAACGTAAGCACCAGCATTCATTTATTCGTTCATTCGTTCATTCGTTCATTCATTCATTCATTCATTCATTCATTCATTCATTCATTCATTCATTCATTCATTCATTCATTCATTCATTCATTCATTCATTCATTCGTTTCTTTGTCGATTATTGAACCAACGTTAATTGCTAATCATCAATAACAACTATAATAACAACAACAACAATAATAATAACAATTAAAATAATAATAACAATATGAATAATAATATTAATTATATAGCGCTAACTTGAAAATCTCATTGGCAAAACAGACGACGTTACTGAGCGATTGCTTCTTCAATTGCTGAACCATCAACCAGAACTCTATGTTCTCAGAGCTGAACTCTTTCGAGCAGAATATTCTAAACTGTTCTAAACCTGAATAGGTGAATGAATGAATGAATGAAAAAATGAATGAATGAAAGAATGAATGAATGAATGAATGAATGAATGAATGAATGAATGAATGAATGAATGAATGAATGAATGAAGGAACGAACGAACGAACGAACGAATGAATGAATGAATAAACGAACGAGCGAAAGAACGAACGAATGAATGGATAAATGAATAAACGGACGAAAGAATGAACGAACGAATAAATGAAAGAATATTTGGAATAATGAAATAGCGAATGAATAATTGAGTAGAAGAACAAGTAAACTACATTTATTGTCATAATTAACGACAACATAAAAAAATATTTCTATAATAATAATAATAATAATAGAAATAATAATAATAATAACAATAACAAAAGGAATAATAAAAATAATACGACCTTGTTTGTTTTTCAGAAGTTCTGTAAAACTGATGGTCCATCTTTTTAACGTTCGTTCGTTGAATTTCACAAGACTGAATGACAGAAGGAGAGAATATTGGAAAGAAAAATGTTAACCATTCATTGATTCGTTCGTTCCGTTCATTCATCCATTCATTAATTCATTAATTCCTTAGTTCATTCATTCAATCATTCACTCACTCAATTATTATATCACTCACACATCCATACATCTATCCATCCATTTATTTGTTCACTAACTCATTTCTTTTTCATTCCTTTATTCATTTTTTTATTCATTCAGCAATCCACTCACTCATCATCCCAGAATGTGACGTCATCAGAGCTCCAGGGGTTGTTTGGGAGGGGAGAGTTGAGCAGAGGATCGTGTTCCACGTACATTTCCACCCGACGAATTAAACTAAGATAAGATGGATGGATGGTTGGATGAATGAATGAACGAACGAACGAACAAAAAAATGAATGAATGCACGAATGAAGAAACGAACGAACGAATGAATGAATGAAAAAACGTATTAAAAAAATGAACAGATACCTTAGTTCGTAAAATGTTACGATAGGTTGATCAAAATAGAAAATGTAATTAAAGGAGAAAAGAACAAAAAGGGACGAATGAATGAAAAAAAAATGAATGAATGAATGAAATAATGAGTGAATGAAAGAAAGAATTTAATAATGAAAAAGGAAGACACGCAAAAAGTAGTTTATTAGTTTGTTTATGACGACGCCCGTATAACATATGACCATGTGAATACTAATGTGTGTAAGAAAATGAGCATAGGCATGTATGTTTGTTTGTTTGTTTATATGTATTATGTATGTATGTTTGTATGTATATGTGTGTGTGTTTGTTTGTATGTGTGTATGTATATGTGTGTGCATGTATGTATTTATGTATGTTATGCCTTAGTTCGTAAAATGTTATAAAAAGATACCAAAGGGTTAATGTCTGTATAAGTATGTATGTATGTTTGTTTGTATGTTTGCTGGTTTGTATGCATGTGTACGTATATTTACCTTGTCACGTGAGCACGGTCAGACACCTAACAAATCTTCATCAACTTTCCCTCTCTTCTATGAACTTCCCGTTTCGGCCAACACGCAAAGTATAGAAAATTATTCACTTTATTATTTGTTTTGCTCCGGAAATTTTGTTATCTTTGTTTTTTTTTTATAGTTTTTTTTATCTTTGACTATTTTTATTTTTGTTTGTTGTTGTTTATTTTATTTTTGTTTACTTTCTTTTTTTTTCTTACATATCTTATGTTCTTTTTTCAAATTTATTTTGCGTTTTAATGATCTTTCATTTATATAGCGCTTTCAAGAGTACCATTTTTTTTTAATTTTTGGTTTCTTCTTAAGAATTTTTCTTCAGAAAAACTTTTAGTATCTTTTTCCTCTTTCACACTCTTCATAATTCCATCAATAATTTCTTCACTAATGCAACGAGATTACAAAGGAGATGTTGTTTCTTTCAGGTGTTTGTGTGTGTGCTTGTGCATGTGTGTGTGGGTTTTTGTTTGTTATTTGTATGTGTGTATGTGTGAGTGTGTGTATGTGTATGTGTGTGTGGGTTTGTGTTTGTTATTTGTATGTATGTGTGTGTGTGTGAATGTGGATGTGTGTGTGTGAATGTGGATGTGTGTGTGTGTGTGTAAGTAAGTATGTGGGCTTGAGTGTGTTTTGAATTGTATATGTATGTATGTATGTGTGTGTGTATGTATGCGTGTGTATGTATGTTTGGAAATGTATGTGTTAGTATTTATGTATACACAATATACGTATAATGTTAGGAGTGTGTGTACGTGTGCATTTGTGTGTGTATGTGTGTGTTTGTTTGTGACTATTTATATGTATGCAGTTGAGTGCACAATTTTGCACTGAGCGTATTAAACACAACGACGAATTTATAATTGCAACGTCGTGACTTCGTAATAATTACGTACGGAGAGATGAATGAATGAAAGAATGAATGAACGAATGAATGAACGAACGAACGAACGAACGAATGAATGAATGAATGAATAAAAATTAAAATTTTACCTATCAAAAACGCTCGTCAGACTTTTAGCTGGTAACTTCAAACTTTCCTTATAGCGTTGGATCTTATGTATTTGATTAATGATGACACACATACATACATGCATGCATACGAAACGAAACGAAACGAAATTTTATTTGCTTCTCAAAATTAAAAAATAAAAATAATCAGAAAGACCATAATAGTATTCATATAAAATTCATCTGGTATGGCTACCTAAACGGAAATGTTCTGAGTTCACACAAAAATTTTCAGCAAACAACAAAAGGAAT